CATAGCTATGGCACTGGCCAAGCCGGCTGAAACCAGTTATGAAATGGCACAAACCGGTTATTAGTTACCGAAGCTCGGCTTTTAGTAAGTGTGCCTGCCCCACAGCATGATTCTATCAAGCTTTGTACTCTTCCTTTCTTTTCTCATGCCTGGGCCAAAAAATATGCTGCAACGCGCTTTCCACCTCAAAGACTGTTGAGAAATATGTTTCCAGAGACATACGTGGCTCTTCTCTACACAAAATAAAACTAGTTAGTGTCCGTCGTCACGGTGGAGCCTCGCTGTCACTATTCTGTTAGAAAATTCAATAATAACAAACTCACGTGACACTACAACGTAAAACTGAACAAAGAACATAAATAATATTTAAGTTATATTATAACTTCCCACATATTTCCCATGAAAATAGTCGGAAGATATTTCCCACTTCGACGAATGTTCTATTTGAAGTCAGACTTTTAACTGCTGCCTGGGGAAGTAGGGATCGAGTTACATGCAAATATTTGAACACACTCGCATTGTAAACTGAATTACGTCACGGACAATGGATGAAAATGTCTTAATTTCACAGTAACTATTGAAGAAAGTGTTGGGAACACAACGTACTTATTAATTTCGTAAAAACTGCCTGTAATTTATAAGTAAAATTGAACCTAACAAAGATATTATATTCTGGTTTAATATGCCTCTAACAACTCAAAAAAGTCTAACACAAATATAACAGCATACCATAAAATATTACATTAATCACAAAGAGATTGTTCCCAGCTTTCGTCTCAATCAAACTGAATCTCAGTAGCCTAAACCTAGCTTCAATACCAATAAAACCCAACCACTAAAAGCTGAGTTAGTCCCGGAGGAGTATTTAGCTCTTTGGACGACGAAATTAATCAGAAGTAAAGGAAGATGGTAGACGACAAAGTTATAAATAAACCTTTAAGTAAGCGACTCACGAAAACTATTAATTGAAAAATTATGGTACTGAAATGTTTTCAGCAATTATGGCACTGAAATGTTTTATTTCAACTTCTTTGTCTCAGCAGTCTGTAATAAACAACAGAGTTCAAAGCGTAGATGGCGTAGATGTTATTGAATGTGACTCCCCATACAAATGTGTTTCGCATCAAACTTTTTCGAGTTCACACGCTGGAAGTTGGCGAAGTAATTAAATTCTTAATTTATCGCCGTTCGTGTGCAGAACACGGGGACTCCAAATGAAACCAATTTATTCCATAACCTTTAAAAGCTTTTCTAACTATGACTACAACTGCGCTTGATTCAGTAGGCCCGGATCGTTGTCATGTAATTTGCAAATCACTTTTGTTAGAGCATAGGAAAAGCTGTAGAAACTTTAACTTAGAGACACATTTTCCCACATCTAATTAAAGTACTTAATTTCAAACTTCAGTTAAAGACTTTAAAACTCCGTGACAATAATACGATCAGCCGGTTGGTATAATCATAATTTTTGTTTTTAACAAAGATACACAAAGTTTCTAATCTTATTTCCAGGGGTGAGCACGCTTTCAGCAATTTGTAATAATAACTAGTGATGCATCGATGCACTAACTAATCTTGGCTGCCATATTTAGATCGGTGGAAGAGTTCTTCTAGCTAGGGATAGAGGTGCGAAAAAGGGCGACAACAGATCCTGAAGGTTCAAGGTGAATTGCCACATTAACCGCAATAAAGTTAGTCTACTCTATGAGCTATCTGCATCATCATCTGCTATCATATAATTATTTTACGCGCATCCGAAGTCACTGCATTAACTTTCGTTTTGACCGTGAGTCACATGCTTCATGGTCTCTATAGTAACTCGTTATAAGTGTAAGCCTTTACAATTCAGTCTTACGGCATTCAACTTTATTGCTGTATTATAACTGAACGCTTTTATTACACGCCTATATGAAGGTTAATTAGTTGCCTACTTCACAAGTCTTCGTATGGATATACTCGTAATTCAACCAATAAAAAATTAAAAGAAGCTGCCAGTCACTGTTAAACGTCCGTACCCAATTTCTTGATAAACGACAAAAGTTTCAAAATGAATGTTAGTTCTTTTTTTAAGTTTTTTTTCCACATTATGTTGTAGACGAAGTACTAGTAATTATTATGTGACTGTAGTAAGGTAATAATGTATTGAAAACTAAATTTAAGGTAAAATTCTATTCAATTTAGTTGTATTTTTTCACCAGGTTGAAAAAAATGTCAGCTATTAAAAACTAGCCATGGTCCCATTAGCAGGCCGTCACGCCTGCAGCTGGGAAGTGTTATATTTAATTCAACCGTATTTCCAGCCATTTTCAGCTGAATATAATAAGTTAGTCGTGCCATTTAATATGGCTCCCAACGAATAAAAATTTGGTCCCGTTTTATGCCTTAATTAATTGAAAATATTTAAACCTGAAGTGAGTGAGCGCGCGAATTTAAAATGCTGAAATTGGAATTTGGATCACTTATTAATGTTATGAAAAGAATGCAAAATACAATACAATCCCAATATACGGACTATACTGTAATGCCTTAAAAGAATTTATTATGTATAAATAAATATGGGTTCATAATCACTTCTTCTTTTTCTTCTTTTACATTTAATAAAAGTTGGTGTAGAAATTTGGTTTCCATGGGACACCACAAAGTGTATTGATTCGCAATCCACCTAATTGTCCGAAAATAAATTAATATTTCTTTCCCAGTAATGGACGGGTAAATAATTAGAGAACTTAACATTTACTTTCTCAAACATAAATAATTCAAAGATAAACTAGCGTGAACCATATCCATGTCATACTTAGTCCAGGTAAACCCTGAAGTTTCAGCTTCTAAGTTTAACTCCTTATCGCCTCTCGACTTTACACACCGGGTGAACATTGGGAACGGCTTATTCCGTAATTACATGAGATGTAGCGCAGTATCTTTGAGGTAATATAGACCTAGTCAGTCTACTATAGACTTTTGTCAAGTCTTTAAGGCTGAGTTGCACCACCGTACTTTAACCGAAACTTATGTATGGATTTTGACAGACTTTTAACGTTTATTAAAAGTTAAGTATTGTAAGATGGTGCAGCAACCCAACCTAAGCAAATGAAATCCATAGCTATTTATCGGGCAACGAACTACCTAGATATAGGCTGATGGTAAACAACTCATAACAACAATAAAACATAGAAATAAAAACAAGCCGAAAACTTCAATTTACAGATATTGTGTTACAGGCAAATGTATGTTTTGAATAAATTTATTTATCTAAGTTGCTATTTTTATCATGTACATGGACTACAAGTCTCATTACTCTTCTAAAAAGGTTACATTAACAACTATAATGTTCACACATTGGATTGTGTATTCAATTCAATTTATACTCCATAAAGTTCTCAACTTTAGTGTATCACCCACACAATAAATCTAATACCTTTCGCACAAGAACTTAATCGTATCAACCACTAACACTGCGTGGGCTGGCTTTGGTTGAAGTAACATTTGATGTATCAATCATACGACATTGGTGAATTGGTTCAAAGGCTATTCTCATACTCGTATGTTGGTCTAAATATAACCAATGTTTGGACTTTGGCCTATACTATTATTGCCTGATCAGTAGGCGGTAATATTGTAGTTGATATTAAAAAATAAAATTACTTAGCTTACCACTTGGTGACGCCGGCAAAAGTACCCAACTACACCATCACACACACAAATCCTCAACAAATCGCTTGCGATTTGTGGGAGGGCGGGCCGGTGCTTTTTGCATTAAAATTTGCTTGTAGGTACTATAACCATAGAAAAAAAATGTTTTTCTATGCTATAACACAGTCGGTGCGTGCAGTGTGTGTGATAATGTTGTTGGGTACTCGTGCCGGCGTCACCAAGCGGAAATTTTTTAAGAGTAATTTTATCTTTTAATATCTAATTATTGATTTCCGCAAAGTAACGCCTGATACTATTAATTATAGGTAATAAATAAATAATGTAATGAGTGTCGAGCCTCCATAGGCTCGAACGGTGAGCTAGGCAGAAATAGGCTGGAGGCTACGGAACCCACGTAATCGCGAGCAGTGATAAGGGTCCTCATCCCTGAGTGACAAGGTAATTTCGGAACCTTTCATCATAGGTAACTTAGTTACACGCCCATTTACATACCGTAAAACCAGTGATTTATGACTTTTAATAATTTAATTAAGTTATGGTTTATTATTACTGACTGTCCACATATCGCGGGCTTCAAGCCATAAGGACGTATAAGCAATACCCCTAGTATTGTTTGTTTAGATAATAACTTATTCTCAGCTGTGCGTCGTCACACCACCTATTTTAACCGTGACTGTAACCATAACCGGTGTTTTTGTATGGAGTTTGACAGACTTTTGACGCTTGTTAATGTTAAAGTAAGATGGTGCAACCCAGCCTTAGTTTTGTAGGTTGTGTAATGTTCACTACATTCTGAGAATCTAACCCTAAACTAATACCTATCTTGTGAAGGAGTAGTAAGCTAAGGTCTAATTGCAGAAGTTTGAAATTGCGGTTTTGGAGCCACCCAGAATTCAGCATTTTATTGTTGTCCGTTCGAACTTGATAGAGTTTACTGGCGCCTTAGGAGACAGAATATTTCGGATCAATTTAGGCTTTGATTTAAATTGTTTCCTCAACTTCGGTTTAAAGAATCTTTATTTTCATAAGAACAGGTACTTATTCCTAACTTATTCTATTTTATCGTAGGTAGGTAGGTACTATAAAATGTTAATTAGATTTTAATTTATTACAAAATATTTTTTTACTAGTTTTAAAATCACTAAACAGTCACTGATAGGCACTAGTGGAGTTTGCTCTACGACCTCTACTATGTTTTATGTACTAGGGAGTTTGGCTATGACTTTGTGTAATTTATGTCATAGTAATAATAATAAATCTATATCAATAAAAGCGAACGGTCACTGGCTGACTGACTCTACATACTCGTATTGTTCAAATCTCAGAAACTACAAGTTCTAGGAGTTAGCATGGGGGTTTCTTCAGAACGTAGGTGCTCACTAAGACGGGATTTTGAAAATTCAACTCCTAAGGGGGTAAAATGGGATCCCCGCGTACGAAATCACGGGCGGCCGCTAGTAGGTACATAATAGGTATTAGGTAATTTCTTATTAAAGACTAGCTGTGCCCGCGACTTCGTACGCGTGAAAACCGGTTTTCGCTACATTTTTATTTTTTGCTCTGCACCTATTACTCGTAGCGTGATGGTATATAGCCTATAGCCTTCCTCAATAAATAGGCTATCTAACACTGAAATAATTTTTCAAATCGGACCGGTAGTTCCTGAGATTAGCGCGTTCAAGTAAACAAACTCTTCAGCTTTATAATATTAGTATAGATATGTTACTAATAAAACGCAGCGTGGGACGACCACCTACAAGGTGGACCGACGACATCGTTAAGGTAGCAGGGAAGCGCTGGACGCAGGCCGCTACCAATCGATCAACATGGAAAGCATTGGGGGAGGCCTATGTTCAGTAGTGGACGTCCTATGGCTGAAATGATGATGATGATGTTACTAATTTCCTTTTAATTTGTTGCAGGGCTGTCGCTGACGCCGTTCGTGCGGCACTGGCAGCCGGCCGCGTACGAGCCGCCGCACGCGCTGCGCCGGCGCAGGGCGGCGCCCGCGCAGCCCCCGCCCCCGCCCCCGCACCCGCTGCGTATCACCTTCCGCGCTCACAACAGGTGCGTACCTAGCCTCATCAACCGATCAATTATAATGTCAACCTAATCCTGATACTTCATCATCATCATCAGATCATATAAGTCTGTATTACAAAACTACGAATATTCACATCCGTATTCACAAACATTACTATGAGATCTCACAGTGCACGTGGATGCACAGGGTGACACACGAACCAATCACAGAGCTCTATTTGACGCTGCGCGTTCGATTTGCTGCTTCACTCGTTTGTGATTACGGGCGTAGGCCATTTCCACCAAAGCTTCACACTAAAATAGATTTTGATTAAGAAAATTCTCGGAATCCGAGATCTAAGAATATTGGGATTACCTGGGCAACAACGCAGTCTGTTATTCTTAGATCTATCGATCTTTCCTAAATCCAACAAATCTTGTATTTCAACGTTCAATCTGAATAACATACCTAAGTGATATTATAAATACATAGATCATTAAAGAGATTGTTAAGTATTTTGGATACGTTATAGTATTACAAACAAAGAAATAATTAAATAATGCATGTACCTAAATAATGGGTCTGAATCCATCCACTAAAAAACTGTGGTGAATAAATGATTTTAAGCAAGGGTTAGGCTTACAACGTTGTCGTTTTAGCTAAATGACGTCCACTGCTGGACAAAGGACTCCCCCAAGGTTTTCCATAATAAACGGTCCAGCGCTTCAACTTTACCACATCCTATTATAGGCAAACCAAATTGCACTCGTCCGGGACTGCGGGCAAGATCTAGTTAATATGTACACTGTACAGTTATAGCATCAGATATTGATAATTAATCGATCCTGTACATGACCAGCCGTACTAAGAGGCTATAAAACATGAGTAATGGCGGTATCAGGTCCAATTAAACAACTATAATGCGTCTACCTATGCGCCGAATAGGCGCCTGGGCTCATCTGTTTGAATCAGCTGAAACAGGGAATTAGTGTTGTTGATCGTCGGTTATCGATATACACGGAAAAGTTGTGGCCACAAAGGATAAATGAGCCAAGCCTTGAGTCAGATAAAAAAACATGTTTGAGATAGAGCGTAAAGTGAACGCAAAATTAAACAGTAAAGTGTTAAATGTTATTAAATTTTCCTATTCCACAAATCTAATTTGATTCAACTAATACGTTGGTTTTTCGTGTCTTCTTGCAGCATAAATACTGCACGTTTTCCCTCCCTCTTACATGACGTTACAAATTCTTCGGTGGTTAGATCTGATGGTTCGCGTAACCGGTCTACAAATTCAGCAGCGGTTGCGGGTTTGAATCCCGCTAGAGGTAATTGTTGTACATATGAGCATTTGTAGAGTCTATGAAATAACTTTATTCGTAACTAAATGCCTTCAGACTTAGCCTAGTTTGTAAGCCTGAACTTTTATTTATTTATCGTCAAACTATCGACAATCATTCCCCGAACTACTGGATACATACTCATCTGTTTGGATCAACTGAATTAGGAAATAATGACTGTAATACCGCGTCTAGGCGAAGATGGATGGAACTTGCCTGTTTGTAGTGATTTGACGGTTTCTATTTTGCTATTTTTTTCGCTAATGTCCTTTTTATTGATCGATGTTTGTACTGAATTTGTAAATAATGATGTGGCTATAACTTAAAACTAAGTTTTGAATAACTGTTTCTATTTAATTGTTGTAAAAGTGGTTAAAGTGATGAAATGGGAAAGGATTACATTTTTTACTCTTTATAGCTTTCTTTTTCTTTTATGACTCTACATTATTCAATAGATGGGTTAATTGGAGTCTAAATAAATGTTTTTGTAATTTGCAATAATTTAAAGCCAGATTCACAAACGGCACACTCTGTGTAGGCCATAACTTACAATTTACACTAAAGTAAATACTGCGCCTTGTATTTTATAGTCCATTTGAAAGAGTTACATCGTTGCATTAGTTTCTGGAGCAATTTATATGGAAAAGGGTGTGTTGGCTAAGACTACAGAAATGATCAAAAACACTTGAATGGATTTAGGTGGTTATACGAATGATACACATGATAAGTAAGTGTATTACTTACACGGCAAGAAAGGCATGCCTAAAGATCTATAATTATCGACTTACATATATTTACACTATGGAATAAAACTGTTGTAACAATTTGTCATTGATGTGAGTGAGCAAATGTATCATTGAATGCTAAGTAAGATTATCGGTAATCACTGTGAACGTTCCTTCTTTATTTAAGGATATTTGTATCAAATTTATACCTACACAAGATTGCCAAAGTCCATCCTACTTTATGCGTGCCTATTTTACGAAGTTTTCCCATTTTACACGAAAATAGTTCACCTTCCTATCCTACTGTGTTACCAAGCAATAAAGCAACAAGCTTTACAAAGAATGTATAACCGCGTAAGTGCACGTCGTAGGTTACCGACTACCGTTAACCGAACGTGTCCCAGACCAATCCATTTGCTGGAGCATTTCCTTAATTAAAACACGCGCTTCTTTACATTGCGTTGATTGCTTACCAATCTTGATGATGTAAGGTTATTGCTATTAATCCAAGTGGTTTACTGGTTTTAACCGGCTATGTTTCTTTTGTTTACAGATTCTGAAATTGATGGCTATTTGTAAATGCTATTTTAAAATTTAATTTAGTGTTTTTTTTTTCAATGTCATCCGAGTCGCAGAATCTCCTTTGAAGGCTTTTGAATAAAAGACTAGTGCCCGTTTTCACCATCAATCCTTAATTTTTAAGCGACCCCTATGGTAACACATAACAGGAATTTTGTTTACATAGGGATCACTTAAAAATTAGGGATTGATGGTGAAAACGGGCATAGGCCTCTTTAAAATCTAATCTTAATTGAAATACAATGTCAGTCATACCTAAGGTCACCAGTGGAACAAGTCTAATATTAATAAAGCTACAAAACCTCTTATATTAGTTGATACTGTCTACATAGCTCTATTGAGGGACTTAGCTTCATCCTAATCTTGTGGAATAACGTCCCTGGATTTTCTCCTAGTTATAAAGAATAAGTATTATTTGATATTTGTCTATAGAATATGATATAAAATCACAACACAACCGAATTGAGTCTAGGAAACTGAACTAATATTTACATTGGTAGGTATTATTTATTTTTATGTCGTAGGTATCTGTTGAATCCGCTAAGCAAAATTTTTCGTATTTCATAAATACATAAAGGAGTTTTGATATGAATGAAAATCGTTAAAATAAGATCATTGATCTCAAAAGCTTATGAAGATGGAATTGTGTATTCATAAATACATACACGTGAATTCGTATTATTGGAGGTACCCCCTATGAAGGGAAAAATAAGATTTACTAAGGATCTCTTTAAATACCAGTACGTCATTATAAAAGTAAATAAATATCCTTTGACATTTCACACTGCGCTTCTAGTCCCAAACTAAGCAAAGCTTGTACTATGGGTACTAGACAACGGATATAAACATACTGTTCATGCACACAAATGTTTGTACTGTGCGGGAATCGAACCCATAAAAGAATTAACTCTTGAAAATGGCAATTTAAAAATGCCGAAGTCCAAAACATAATTTCCGAAGTTCGTCAACACAATCGTGTGCAGGATATCTCTGATTCCGAAGTGGGTCGGCGATCGCCGCGAACTCGGAAGGACCATTCAGCTGAAGACTCGTTAACTAGTTGGCGCTCAATGCGACACTCCACAGCACTGCTCGACGCGATTAACTGGTTCGCACCGGTATTTACATTACGTCATTAACTGATAATTCCAAGACACCTACAGCTTCCAAAAATAATTTATATAAGCTATAAAAATATTATCAACAACCAGTAGTCACAGGCTCTATCAGCAAGTATAACTATTGGGCAGGTAATGCACATTAACATTCATTGATAGTTACAACTTTTTATCGATAACAAGTAGGGAACCCACTTCTAACAAACAATTTACCTTATGAAGCCCTGAAAAATTTGTCAATTTACAATTAACAGAAAATTAGTTTTCCTATTGCGTTGGAAGATGAATCTCTAACAGCTAAAAGGCATGACAAATTATACATATTATTGCTTTGTTGTTAAGTACCCAATTGACGACATAGAATCAGCACATTAATCACAAGAGAGTTTAATACATCTCGAGACCATCAAAATGTGCGGAACCCTCCGAGAGTATACTTCGCACTTGGCCAGTTTCTCGACGCAAAAACACGACAAAACATAAAAGCTGTATACATTTACCAAATTACGTTCACAAAATAATGTTGTTTGAAAGCCTCGGCGGCAGAATCCTTGCGAATACCAATTTAATTCCTTTATTTGTGGCAAATTGGCCGTGATTGATTAAATTGTTTATGCCATTATACTTCAGTGTGGTGGAAGCCAATAAACTGATTACTCTGTTACTTATTACGTCACCGTTTCTAAATTTGTACTTTTTTCTCTAAATTGCGCTGTTCTTACCCACTTGTATTTATTTTCTTATTTTTTTGATTGAGAAGTAAATAAATATTATATTTCTGTCCTTTCCTCCTAAACTTATCCACTTTTTTGGTGGTTTTCTTCTCTTGAAATAAATTTCAGACTCCTGTTTGTGAATATTTTCATGACTCTATTTCAGTTAACCACTTTATTCTCATTTGATCATTATCATGGCTCATTAGGTTATACCTAGTCTACTACAGGACTACGACCCTCCCTATTTTTTTAAAGTCAATCGAAGATCTGTCGTATTTATTTGATGGAATTTTTTATATTCGTATAGGTATGTTATAGTATTACGATAACGTCGTTTCAAATCAAGTCAACTCCGCCCATAACAGGGCATCTAAAACGCGCATTTCACTTCGAACCAGTGACCTCGAAAGGGCGAAATCTACTAAAACCACTGAACCATAGGGGCGTTAACGGACAGTTCCCGAGTCGTTTCAAAATAATGTCACTCTTTCTAAGCTTCGCCGACCGCAGACGTACGGGTCCGAATGACTCCCAAATAGTCGGGGCCATATAATTTTACGACAAGT